CCAGGGCTATTATAATAAGTAGGCAGATAATATTCCTAATAACACATCTTAACTCATCTATATTGTCACCCAGACAAGTAACTCTATGTAAAGTTCTGGTCCCTTGATTTGTTAACACTTATGAGTGTGGCGTTGTGGGTTAACAGGCCAGACTGCAAAGCCGTTTCAACTGCCAGGTCAGTGGTTCAAGCTCACCAGCTGCTCCTTGGAAACTCTATACAGGGTCGCTATGGGTCAGAGCCAACTCGACGGCACTTAATAACAACAGTAATTCCTATTTCTAGAAGAGAAAATCTTAAAGGTGTCAGAAACTGATTTCATTTTGAGATCAAATGTCCTATCTAGCTCACACTCATTAGTTACTGCTGCCACAATGGGATAGGCTTGATCTTGCTCTACAGGAAAATCCAGGTGCTAAAAAAGGAGGTGAGTGTTGGTGACTCAGTAGGTGGCACTCTTCCCTTTACATACTCAGCCAATACCCCAGAAGGAAGTTAAGGGGCATCAGATATACCATGAATAATTTTCAGAGGAAAAATAAAACCAGAGTATTAACTAAATTATAAATGGAACTTTGGAAGGTGTTACTCAAACACATTAAATTCAGTATTGGATCAATTTTGCTTCTATTTCAATGGAATTGCATTAGTTACATAATACCCCTATAGGGATTATCCTTTTATAACATGTAAAGGTTACAAAACAAAAAATGTTGCAGATTTCTCCCATAGAGGAAAGTACAATATTTCTAATTAAGATGACCATGTGATCAGAATCTTAAGGTCAGTTTGCAGAAAGCATATAGTCACTTTATTATTTGTTATTCTGCTTATGCGTTAGTTTCCAATATTCAGAGTATTCTTTTCTTCTTTGAATATCGGGCTCAATTTCTACTTTAGTTTTCTAAAATTATATCAGAACTTTCCTTTTCAAATTTGTTGTCCTAAAAGACATTAATCTAATTGCAAATCACTAACACACCAAGATTCAAAGGGTAATCTAAACAAATGAATGGGAGAGCAGAGTATTGTTTCTCTCATTTTCTTGCTTGCCTGCAGGAAAAACTCATAAATCAAGATTATTCTTGTTATTAGTCCTAGTCAAAATATTTGGATGGATGCAGGAGAGGCTTAAATGGATACATTTTGGGATTATCCTTTGATTTTATTTATCCATGCTAAACCTATTCTAAGGAGCACTGGTGGTGTCAAGGTTAAGCACTTGGCTGCTAACACGAGGTCTGCAGTTCCAACCCATCAGCAGCTTCATGGGAAAAAAGACCTGGCAATCAACTCCAGCAAAGATTATAGCCTAAGAACCCTATGGGGCAGTATTCTTCTGTTCGAGCTCTGGTAGCGTAGTGGTTACAAATTGTGCTGTGAACCTTAACGTCAGCAGTTCGAAACTACCAGCTGTTCTGCGGGAGAAAGATGAGGCTTTCTGCTCCCGTAAAGATTTAGAGCCTTGGAAACCCTGTACAGGGTCGCTATGAGTCGGAAGAGACTCCACAGCACATCACAACAACAACAACAACAGAGTTACTAAGAGTTGGAATCAACTGGACGGTGGACAGCACTAAGTCTGATCCTCCATTATCGGAGGGGAGGGGGGAAGCAACGAGTGTCTGCAGTCCATAAGGTAGTCAAATTTTTACTTCTGAAAATACCATTAATCAAAAACTGTAAGTTTCCTATTCATGTAACAAATAATAATCAGTCTACATTTTTTATAAAATAAATAAGCCATCAAGATTTAATATGCTGATTCCACAGAAAATACAAATACCAAGAAACTTTTCATTGGGGCTTGTGTTTGTTTTTATTTTTGTTTTGCATTCCTATATCATTTTCTAAAGGGAAAGGCATGTGATGGGGTGGGGGAGCAAATATCGAAAGGATAGCCTAAAACTGCTAAAAGAAAAAAGAAAATAAAAAAGAAAGTAAAATAATAAATGTAAACAGAATGCATGGCAGCATCTAATCTTCTCCAGCAGTTGAATTGTCAAATGATTAATAATACATAAGACATACAATGATTTGCAATATAGGCACATGGGACACAAAGAAAAATGTCCAAACAACATTATTTTGATAAACCTTATCTTTGATTTAGTATCCTTTTCTCTGAAAACGGTGGTGCTGTGGGCTGAATTCTAAGAGCACTCAACTTTTATAACTACAGTGCCCACTACCAATATACCTCCTTCAGTTTCAAAGAAAATAGACAAAGTAGATAAGCAACATCTGTAAAACCAAACCAATTCCAACCTCCTGTATAACCTAGTAATTCTACATCTAACTATGTACCCTGTACACAGTTGAATTATTCAACCATCTCAGCATTATTTTTAATGACATATTTAAAACCAATGCTGAAAGCACATATTCATAAGACTTTTCTAGTTAAAAAATTATGTTGTTGTTATGTGCCGTGGAGTCGGTTCCGACTCACAGCGACGCTGTACAGGCTTTCCGAAGCTGTAAATCTTTACGGGAGTAGAAAGCCTCGTCTTTCTCCCACGTAACAGCTGGTAGTTTCAAACTGCTGACCGCTACACTACCAGAGCAACTTTTATTTTAATTATTGTTGTTGTTGTTAAGTGCCGTCGAGTCGGTTCCGACCCATAGCGACCCTGTACAGGGTTTCCGAGGGTGTAAATCTTTACGGGAGTAGAAAGCCTCATCTTTCTCCCGCGGAGCGGCTGGTAGTTTCGAACCGCTGACCTTAAGGTTTGCAGCCCGATTCGTAGCCACTACGCTACCAGAGCATAAAATCTTAACAACTTTCCATGAATGTTGTAAAAAAAAAAGAAAACATAAAAACTGTTGGTTCACTTTAAAGAAAAAGATTCTCCAATATACATCTTGAAAACAGTCTTTAAAAATAAAGTACAATACAAATTTATGACCACTAAAGTTTTAATGTTTTCATATTTGCTTGTACTACTTCATATTTGTATTAATGTTATTTGTTTTAATATCAAATATTGAAAATATCAATAAGGTGATTTTAAAACAAAGGCTCATTTCAGACAGTATGTTAGTATATTATCTGACTATGGAGAAATATGGCTGAAGTACATAGGAAGTTAACAAGGGCAGGAAATGTAAATATTATGTAATTCTGAGCTTTCAGCTAAATTACCCTCCCCCCCCCCAAAAAAAAAAAAAACACAAGAAAGGCTTGTGACCAATGAGGATTAGGTATCTGGTTATGGATCCAATAGTAACTGACTATTGTGGGACCTGTGATGCCTGAAAAACATATACCCGGAGATCTGTATTTTATTTCTTAAATTTAAAAAGTGTGAGATCTGGTTTTACAGTAATTACGAATATTTCTCCGATCTGGTTACAAGAATAATGTTCTAAACAAGCAATTCCAGGTCAGCTGTAGTAAAATCAGATCATACTTACGTCAAACTCTCATATGATGGAATAAAAGCAGCCTAAAGTCAGTTTTTACAGTTCTTTCAATATTTCCCTTAGTGACACGCATTAATGACACCCAGTATTTCTTAGAGTGAAATACTCGTCCACACAAATGCACCCATGACACTGTGTCATGTTCATATACATATTAAATCTACATTCAAATACTATTAGTTTTATTTTCTCCATCATATTTACAATGCTAACCACCAAAAGATCCAGCATCATCTTAGAATATTTGGTCTCATAGTGCTATAGAAGTAACTTAACTATTTCAAATGTCACATCTTATATGGCAATGCTTTTTCAACAGTTAAAATAGGTAAGTTATATGGAGTCCTGGTGTGGCGCTGTAGGATATGCACTGGACTGCTAACCAAAAGGTTAGCGGTTCAAACCCGCTCCTTGGAAACCCTATACAGTGTCGCTATGAGTGGGAACAGACTCAACAGCACATAACGACAACAGAAAAACTCTTTCAACCCAGCTATTGGTGATTAACACTGAAAGATCAATATTTTAGAAAAAACAAATAATACAAAATTTTGTTTTCAGCATTCTTATACATACATGACAGATTAATAGTAAGAATTCTTACACCATCAGGATAGATAAGAAAGTTTTTTTGTTTTTGTTTTTTTCAACCATGTCCCAAACTATAAATTTATCATTGGTCCCTAGTGAAAATACCACCTGCATCTCCAGTACACTAAATAAACAGTAATGGAAAATTAATAGCATTAAAGAACCACACATCTTTAATTCCTAAAATAAATTCCTGTAAACAGTAATGTAAAACTGAAAAGGGGAAGATGAGGATGCAAAAAATGAAGTGCGTTCATGGTGTACAAAGGAAGTACAACTTGAACACATCCTTCCTTTTTTCTGTGTTAATGTTACTGAAGCTGAAGACAAGTGGCTATTTGAGAATCAGGCCCTTTTCGAATACCGTAAATATGGATGCACTGAATGTTCAACAAAAATGTGAGCTGCAGAAGACAAACTTCTCTGTACCGTCCCATAATACCCAACACCTGTGGCTTTGACATCCCTCTTTACTTCTCTACACCCTCCTCCTCACTAGCAGGCCACCCAAGGATCACTCCACTGACTTCAGTTCCCTTCCCAGATATCCTAGATGCATTCATTCCCATTCCTTCTTTCTTTTCTTTCTTCTCTCTCTGTCTCTCTCTCTGTCTCTCTCTCTCTGTCTCTCTCTCTCTCTCTCTCTCTCTCACACACACACACACACACACACACACACACACACACACACAGTGTCTTCACGACACACACAGAATTGTCTTGATCTCTTTAGTGTAGTACATCAAAAGGGCTTCTCTCCTACACCCGCACGAAATTTCAACACACACGCCCACTCCCTTCCTTGGACCAAACACCCCTCTTCCCTGCCCGCCCCCACTGACTAGAAGAGCTGGGATCGCAGGGACATGCGAAGCGCAGAGAGAGAGAGGGTACGGACTCTGAACGCTTCTGTCCCCACCGACTCGCCGTCTTAGCACTCGCCCCCGCCCCAGCAGCGATACCCGCCCCTTTGTCGCTCTTTACCTGCCAACAGGTTCCTAATTTCCTCAGGGAGGGGGTAGAAAGAGGAGGTGCTGCTAGGATCGGGCATGTTAGAGAGCGCGGGGCTTTGTGGAAAGGACCTATACTGAAAGGGGAACCGACAGAGTGGTGCTGCAGCTGCGACCTAGACTCGGACTAGCGGTCCTGGTAAGGACAACGAGGCTACAAGTCCGGACACTGAAGGGCCGGGACTCACAACAAGGAAGTCACAGAAGCCCCAGCCAACAGCAGCTGGACTCTCGGCCCAGCCCCTCCCGGAAGATCGGGGCGGAGCGAAAGATGAGAGTGGGCTGGTAGGGCCTGAGGGGCACAACTGCGCATGTGTCTTCCCTAGTTTTCCAGGTAGAGGAATTAGAGAAAGGAGCGTCTGGACAAGCCACGCCCAGTAGTACGTAGGGGAGCTGGAGGCGGAACAAGTTGACTGGGACTGTGTCACCTGATTCGGCGCTGTTGAAGCCCCTTACCGCCATTTTGGGTACTGGTACTCCTACAACTACTGGCAATTTTTCCAGCATCCTGGAAAACAATATATCCGTAATGACTAGGACTCTTCGGGTTACGAGACCTCTGGCCAAAAATCAGTCCTACCGAGGTTTAATCCTCTCGCCTGGTAAACCACAATGAGTTTTCTGTGGCCCTAAACGATTAGGGCCTTCTTTGTCCGTTTTAATGAATGCAGCAAAGTCCTAACTTCCGCCAGTCCTGGAGAAGCCAGTCTTGGGCTGCTCAGGAGAGCCTTCTGATTGGTTTTACATTACTTTTATACCTAGTTTGGGGTTTTGGAATGAATGAACTCCCATACCTCTCGAATGAAGTGGGGTATGTTATAGACACCCCCCTGTTTGCGGAGGGGGTTAAAAAAAAGCCGTAGAAGATGACTAAAACGACGTAGGCACCACTGTTCATCTATAAACATTAAAAATATTGCTGGTGGTGGCTGGAAGAAGTCATTATAAAATGTGTTTACTCCATCCTGATCATTTAGTCAAACTGAGTGTTTCCTATCTGTAAAGTTACAAATTTTCTCTAAAACACAGAAAGATACATTCTGTCGCCTTTAAACACACACACACACCTATATAGATGTTGTTGTTAATTGCCGTTGGATCAGTTCTGACCCATAGCAGCCCTGCATAGGTTTTCAGAGGAGCAGCTGGTGAGCTTGAACCGCCGACCTTGCAGTTCAAAGGGCTTTGCAGTCTGGCGCATTAACCCACAGTGCCACACATGTAGATAGTGTGTTCAAGTTCAAGATTTTAGTTAAAATCACCCAAAGCCTAGGGTGTAACCCTATTTGTCATCAAGGAAAATGGAGACAGCAGAGCTACAGAAGAAAACAGAATACAGACTGACAGAGGAAGTCTCCTGGGGCAATGAGTATGCACTGTATGTCTTGATGGACTCCTTGATGGTGTGGTGCTATACAACCAGCTCTGGACTGCAAACAACAAGGTCGGCATTTCCAACCCACCCGCTGCTCCTCAGAAACCCTACACAGGGTCACTATTATTCAGTCCAACTCAATGGCACTTAACCACCTTTGTCTTGATAAAAAACATGATGACAACAGTCGTCACTGGGATTGTACTCCCTGGCCCTCAGCTCTACTTTACAAGACACACCAGTCTTCAAAATCTCACACAAAAGTCAGATACAGATAGTGGATCTTCCCAAAATATTAGTATTGTATCTTGAACATTGTATGGTGGCTGCTATTTCAAGGTAAATCGTTTAATCCTCTACCCCACAGCTATCACTAGATTCATGGTCCTTGTGGCACTGTGGGCTAATGTGTCAGACAGCAAAGTCGTCTGAACTACAAGGTCGGTTGGTAGTTCAAGCTCACCACCTGCTCCTTGGAAACCCTCTACAGGGTCACTATGGATCGGAATCGACTCCATGGCACTTAACAGCAACCGCAGACTTAATTCGCTCTGGTGACCCAATGGTTAAGTGCTCCACTGCTAACAGAAATGTTGGTGGTCCTGTGCTGGTGATGTGCTCAAGTAGAGATTGTTGGTGTTAAGTCCCATTGAGTTGGAAATCTATTCTGTCCTATAGAGTTGCTATGAATTGGAATACACTAGACTGTGCGCACCACAACAACAAACTTTAGTTTGGGAGAATAGTAATTCTGTGGTAGAATTCTCACCCTCCATTTAGGAGACCCAGTTTGATCCCTGGCCTTATGCCTGACTGACACCATCTATTAGGGGAAGTGCACATGTTGCTATGATACTAAATAGGTTTCAGTGGAGCTTCCAGATAAGACAGACTAGAAAGAAAAGCCTTTCGATCTAGTTCTGAAAATCAGCTAATGAAAACATTGCAAATCAAACAAGTGCAATCCATGATGGATCATGAGGATGGTGCAGGTCTGGCCAACATTATGTGCCTCTGTGCATAGGGTCAGCAAACCATAAAACTTAAATTTGCATTAGAGTCAGAGAAGACCTACTACTTTGCAGTTTCTCAAGTCTCATCCCCAAAGATGCGGATTCAGTACATTTACTAAGGCGACTTACAGCCCTGGTGTGGCACTATGGGATAAAGGACCACAAGGTCGACAGTTCAAACTCACCAGCCGCTTCTTGGAAACCCCATGCACAGTTGCTATGAGTCAGAAACGACTCGATGGCACACAACAACAATGCAAGACATCTTGAAATTTAATTTTAAAGAACCACTTGATTACCTCTTATCTCCTAAAGGCACGGATCTTGTTGTAATTTAGCATTCATCCCCAGCTAGAACCCTAAACTGGATATAAAACAATAAATAGCTCTATGCATCAAAAAATTTCAGGCTATACTTGTTGTTGTTGTTAAGTGCCGTTGAGTCGGGTCCGACCCATAGCGACCCTGTACAGGGTTTCCGAGGGTGTAAATCTTTACGGGAGTAGAAAGTCTCATCTTTCTCCGGCGGAGCGGCTGGTAGTTTCGAACTGCTGACCTTGCGGTTCACAGCCCGAGTCGTAACCACTACGCTACCAGAGCTCCTTTCAGGCTATACAAGTAAAAAAAAAAAAAAAAAATCATCAAATACAACATGACATGTTTGTATAATTCTCTTAAATAGCAAACTAATTGTAAAAGGAAAAATGTGAACATTTCTTGCTTCTAAAAACAAAAAAAAAAAAAAAGAGAAAATTTTTACAACTTAAGTTGTTGTTGTTAGGTGCTGCTCGTCAGTTCCAATTAAGAGCAACCCTGTGTAGGGTTTCTGAGGAGGAGCGGATGGAGAAAAACATGCAAAATAACAATGGCAAAAGATGTTTCCAAAATAAATCCATTCCTCAAATGAAACTCTGGAGTGCTCACATTTTTTAATGTGATGAATTTTAGAAAGAGTCCTGAAAATTTAAAAAAAATTTCTAGTGCAGATAAAAGTGAATAGTCATTTTACAATACACGTGCCCCAACTTAATAAAATAGAGAACTGTTAGTCTTAAACTTCAGAATTCGTTTCCTTCTTGAAGAAGGCAGAATCTGTTTCATGGGAATTTTCTAGCAGTGAAGGTTCTTCTTCCCTTACAGTTCTCACATATAATTCTCCTTGTCTTACCACATTTTGTGTTAAACCAGGTCTCCAAATGCTCCTATCCTTTGTTTCCTTCAGGTACAACTGACTGGATTTTTTTTTTTTTTTTTTTTTTGTCTGTGTCTCATTTATTTATTTATGCTCTACTCATTTCACAAAAGGAATTGAGGTGATTTACTCTTGTATCAAGCAGACAGCTTTCTGTAGTGGATCAAATGGCCAGTGTCTACACTGCTCATTATGACAAGTCTTCCTTGTTAGGGAGAGACAGGAAACTATTAAGATTGCCTTAAAATATATTGCATCTAGTAGGCCAAATAAAAAAGGCAATAACAGAAAATGGACTAAAAAGTATGGAACACATTTCCCTTTTTTAGGAAATCATTCTCAGATACAGGTTCATGATGGATTCACTTGGGCAATGTTTTCTATACTCTATCAGTTTTACTGTTTATGATAAAATTACTGAAATTGATTATGAGACAGAAAAAGAAATAACGAGAAGCTAAAAAAAACATGTTTATTTCTCTTGTTTTCAAATGTTTTTTAGCAAACACTGAGAAGGAAATTGAATCATACTTTATGATCTTTAAACTAGTCATTTTAACAATAGAAATAGTAATAAAAGAACCTTTAAATTTCAAACTGAGAGGTAGCAGTCCCCTTACCATTCTGCGAAGAAGAAACTGAACCCTAGGAAAATCTCATGTTTTGTCTTTTCAAAAGCAGATCCTCCATTTCAAAGAAGAATATATATGACTATGGTGGGGGTGGGGATGGTTGTGTGCCATGGAGTCCGTTCTGACTCAGAGAGACGCTGTAAAGAGTTTCTGAGGCTATAAAGCTTTACAGGAGCAAAAAGCCTCATCTTTCTCCAGCACAGTGATTGGTAGATTCGAACTACTGACCTTGTGGTTAGCAGTTCAGCTCATAATACACTATTCTACTAGGGCTCCTTATATATACCTATGCTGATATTGTCAAGTGCTGTTGAGTTGGTGCCAACTCATAGCGACCCTGTATAGGTTTCCAAGGAGTGGCTGCTGAGTTTGAACCGCCAACTTCGTGGTTCAAACCAACCTTGTAGTCCAGTGCTTTATTCTACAGTGCCACACCAGGACTCCATAACTGAAATTAATCCTTTGTGCCCTTCAAAATTAGTTTTTTGTTGCTAAAGTGCCACCAAGTTGGTTCTGAGTCATAGAGACACTGCATACGGTTTCTGAGGAGCAGCTGGTGGGTTTGAACTGCTGACTTTGTGGTTTGCAGTCCAGTGCTGATCCTATAGTGCCTTGTTGTGGTTATTGTTAAGTGCTGTTGACATTTCAGCAATTCTGACTCATAACAATCTTGTATAGGGTTTCCAAGAGGCTTGAATCGCCAACTTTGCAGTTGAAATCAACCTTGCAGTCCAGTGCATTAACCCGCAGCACCACACAAGGACTCCATAGCACCTTAGGAGAGCTGAATAAATATTTGTCCAAAAGCTAAGGTTTAATCAAATATAAATGAGCAAAAAATTATATTTGGGCATTATATTGGTTATCTATTGCTACACAACAAAATTGAGCAGTTTCTAATGGCCAGGAATCCATGAGCAGGTTAGCTGGCTGATTCTGGCTCAGGGTCTCATGAGGTTGCAATCAAGCAATAGATTCGGGCTCTAG